TTTTTTCAGTAAGTCTAACACTTACAATTTAGATTTTGGTTGTTCTATACAACATTATGTTAGAGTAAATTCCAGTGGAATGATTTTCAAAGTTGTTATATGCATTTCTCTGCAGTACAACCCTACAATAAAGTCTTTAAGTTGATTGGGTTAGGTTACCTTTATTACTCTGTCATTCTATTGAGTTTACACTGAGTCTGCTCATGGAGAATAGGTTATAATGCTACACGCTGTGTAAAAATGTAGACAGAAGTGTTTACCAGTGGTGGTTCTGGTGAATATCGAAGTTACGGATTTCACCATGTTTGAATGATAATGACCAGTCACGTGGAGAGCGCTAATTGTTCTAGATAAGTCAAACGTTACCGAATCAATGACATAATTAATATTAATTTCCACAAGTCGGTAATGAATATAGTTAATTCAATAGACATGCGGCTTAGATAGTTTGGAATATTATTTTGAGTGAAGCGATCAGTTGTGAAATAAGTACTGAAGGAGTAGAGCCAGCCTGATCAACTTACAACTCCAGTGAAGGCAACAGTCCAGCGTCACGCTTTATATCCAGCCCATTTATTTAATAGCACAGCTTCTGTTAGTCTTACCAGAATTTGAAATTACTTCATAACTTATCTTACTGTTATATAGGGTATCTACCCAATTTACTCTAAAAATAACTTTACCTAAAAGCACGGTAAATAACCACGAACATTACAAACTGTAATAAAATTTCACAAATAACTACGTAGCCCATTGATAAATATTCGTGTTATAAGTGCGAAATTCCACGATTATATACATTTAACAGATTACGATACACATGTCATGGACATTTCCAGTAAAAACTGACCCACTCAGTTTCGGTGCTACTCACCCGCTGCGCGTGAAACTCACGTATATGGGCCTATTCTCACGCTCACACACACATATATAAAAAAAAACAACACGTTTTGGTTAAATCAACAGCTTTCTACTATAACGTATTGTGTCTTGTTGATTGGCTGAATCCAGGTCAAACTTAGTATCACATTGATCCAGGAAATGCATGGATTTTGCTTCACTAGATAAAAAAAAAAGCTTCTGAGGAAGCTCGCCCCCGCATCACCCTAGAAGGCGACCGTTTTCAGAGCGCGCATACCATTTCAATGCACGTTAACATTTTTACTGTTCAAAACCCTCACTAAAACAGATTCCTAAAAGTCAGCAGCCTTGCCTAGTCTACACTTCTAACGGTTAAAAATACGTTTTATGAGTCCACCAGAGGGTCAGATGCAAGTGTAAGGACTTACTGGGGGTTAACCGTCAATTTCGGGCGGAAGACGGAGCTCCGACAGCCCATTGTGTAGCTTAACAATAAAACAACACGTTCAATTGTAACACATCTTTAACCTTGATATTATCATATTTAAACCTTATATTACATGGGTTCAAAAACGGCTGTGTCAGCCAATACATTAAGTTGAAAAAAACATTTAAAAAATATAAAAAAGAGGGGTTCCTTGATTGCACTTTTGAGCCTACATCTAATTTAAAATAAGGGCATAACACGATGCTAGTAACGAAACAATATAAACGTGCTTTATAAACAATAAAGAAGCCGTTAAACCTTGAATAATGACGAATACAAACGCTGAATATCAATTTTTTTTAAAGTATTGAAAAAAAGTGTAAACAAATATTTTTTAAATCTTAAACAGCTTGTTAGCTAAATAATTCACAAGAATAAACTAGTTTTATCAACGCTGAATATTTTTTAAATTCCCAGATAAATACAGAAATAATGTAGGTGTAAAAGAAATCCGAAAACACCATAATCATTCTTTCACAGCGTCGTGTTTAAAGTATTATGACGTCACATAACAATAGTTAAGAAAATACGTGAGATTCTTCGTTTCACAAAAGGAGGCTTCCATTGTTATCTCCGCAACGGTCATTGACAGGTAACAACCTTCTCTTTCTGTGTATCAATATTGTCTTCTCGTCATGCTTGTAGAATGCGAATAACAACGAAAAGTAGAATGGCAATTTAAGAGTAAAACTACTTATTTAAATCAATACTTGAAACTGTTCGTACTTGGTGAAACTCAGTAATTACAGAACTGAGGAGGTTTTCCATGACGATACATTTACTGGACAATTATTCTGTAAAACTGGTTAGAACAATACCATTCAGTCGTGAGTGTTTGTAACAACTATAACACATTTTGGTTATCTTCGCCAAAACATTAAATATAACACTTTAAGGTGAATATAATAAAGTGTACATAACCGATCGTGTCTCAAACGTAGAATTTACTAAACACAAGAAATAATGATTTCAACATCTGTGAACATATTTGTAATAAAAAACAACAACATTACATTCCTTTTAGTTTAAAACTCAGTTTAAATAAAGAACTATATATTAAACCGTGAGTAAACCCTTTACTATTTTAGACTATTTAATCTAACATGAAAGTTCACCTTTATTAACCCGGTATCAAGAGTCCGTGAGATGACAATGATGTAGCCCAGCTAGCCTTACATCTACATTGTATAACAGTTAATAACACTGTATTATTCATCACACATACATACATAATATAATAATAATAATAAAAAAGTTTTACCATTATACAGTTTGGTTTTCCTACTGCCCACAGATTGACCTTTTTGTCCTCTCCTCCAGTGACCATGACCCGGCCAGATTTTTTTCCAAAGGCTAAGCAACGAACACTGGCTCCATGGGCCATGAACTCTTCTAGTAAATGTAAACAAAAGTGAAAGGTAAAACTACAAACTCCTAAATTACAAGACAAAAATTAGTTTATATAATAGATATTTAATTACCTACATTGTCTGAAAATGTTACATTGAAGAATAAATACATTTCAGAAACTAGGACAGGCTTCTTTTTTTTTTAAGAATGCTAGACTCAAATTTTGTACTGGATACATTTCACCAAGTTTACCCGATGTTGCAGGACCCGGATTTAAAACAGGCTAGACTCAAATTTTGTACTGGATACATTTCACCAAGTTTACCCGATGTTGCAGGACCCGGATTTAAAACAGGCTAGACTCAAATTTTGTACTGGATACACTTCACCAAGTTTACCCGATGTCGCAGGACCCGGATTTAAAACATGCTAGACTCAAATTTTGTACTGGATACATTTCACCAAGTTTACCCGACGTTGTAGGACCCGGATATTAATCAGAAATTGTTTTTGTAATTAAACTTCACATTTTATTGACTTTTGGAGATATTAAATATTTTATTATAAACATAGAATATTGATGATTAATTGATTTATATAATGATTTTAACATTAAATAAAAAAACATAAATTCATTACAACTAAATACTTCAGACTTAAGTCTTACTCAAACTCTTAGAAGTTTCAACTGAATTAGATTACCTCTTATTTTCCTTTAAAAGTGGGTTCCATACCCCAAAAGATAAATAAAAATGCCAAAATAATCCCATATAACATTAAATTCAAAGCAAAAATTACTTCAGAAGTAGATGTAAGTTTACAAAAAAAAAGATTAATCTAAAGAATATTTTAAATTAACTTTCAGCATTTCATGCAACTTCATTGTCTTGGTTTTTTAGAAGCACACACAGGTAGTAGAAGTAGTTACAACAGTGAGAACTGGAGTAATATTATCAGTGGTTCAGAAGAAGAACAAACTAGTTGTAGTTACAACAAGGACTAGAGTAATATTATCAGTGGTTCATAAGGAACACACATAGGTAGTAGTAGTTACAACAACAAGGACTGGAGTAATATTATCAGTGGTTCAGAAGAAGAATAAACTAGTAGTAGTTACAACAACGAGGACTGGAGTAATATTATCAGTTGTTCAGAAGAAGAACAAACTAGTAGTTACAACAACGAGGACTGGAGTAATATTATCAGTTGTTCAGAAGAAGAACAAACTAGTAGTTACAACAATGAGAACTGGAGTAATATTATCAGTGGTTGACAATTGACAGTTTTTTACACTTTCTGGTGTTAAACTTACAGGAAAAACCTTGATAAAGAGTTGCAGGTTTAATTCAAAAGCCATTAATAAAAATGGTAATATAAGAAAGTGTCTACTCGAGATGAACAGAGAAGAATTGGCTCACAAGATAATCTGAAATTACGGTATCCTCAGCTTCTCGGTACTCAAGTTCTATAAACATATGTAACAATAAGCGTTAAATAAGAAATACATGATCTATTTTATAGTATAAAACAAAAGGCAAAATATACTAGTAGACAGTTTAGAAACAAATGGTTTGGCTAACAAATTCTTACATCTTAATATTTACATTGCTAAAAGCTATTTTATTCCTAACTATTCTTTGTATAAACTTACAAAAAATTTACTGCTTAAAAACTAAAGTTTAAATTAAGTGTTAGAAATATACAGGTAAATTTGTGTGTGTGGATATACCTCAAATATATTCAACTTTTTGTTCAATTTGTACCAAAACTGCAATAATAATCATTAAATAAAAAATACCAGAAGATTCTCTTAATATTAACTACATTACCACATTTCACAGAATGATTTGATTGGACCGCTCTCTTTCGATGGAAAAACTTGGTTCTTTGTTCCAGAACTAAAATAGAGGATTTTTTGCTACGCTGCATCACAGAATGCAATGTTGCCATAAATGAAGAAAGTCAAATATATTTCACTTAGACCACAACCTTTTCAATTATTTATGTCTTTAACATAGTGGCTGATAGTAAGGAAGGCATATTCTGCCATAGATCCCAAAATACTATGGACTAAAAACGACTGACAACAACATTAAAACTTTACTTTCACGAGACACATTTTAACTTCAATGCATTGAGAGGTCTACTGCATTTAGAAGATTTCTCAAGACAGAATATTATCTGCTTGGCAAAGTAAGTTTTATCACCACTAAAGGGAGAGCACCAGCAAGACTTAAATGAAACAGCAAAACATTTGCATAATGATGAAACCCATACAAGTACAACCATTAAAACTGTAGCCAGGGTATGTGCTACCATAGGTTGTTTGTTACCTGGACAGATGCCAAAGAAAGATTCCACCAATTTCACCTGCATCACTTATGGCTGAGTAGGTGGTTTTACAATGAACTCGAAGTACTTCTGTAAGAAGGAACGATCACTCCAAGCTGTGCACGTGCACGGCCTCACAGCAGTCTAGAAGGTACCGTGCATCGAAAAAGACAGGCTGTTCAAAAATTAGTCAGCTGGTAAGAGTTTTGTGTGGAAGACGTAAGTCTACAATTTCAGTAACATCGTGTCCAAATGTAAGGTAGGAATACACGTGTGAATAACCAACTATAAACAAGTTTTGGACAGTAAAATAGTATTCAGTGGAGTCTGCCCAGCAGAGAGAAAAGTTAATGAAAACATTGGTAAGAAAACCATCGAAACACATTTGGGTGAACAGACAAACCATCCATACTGAGTATTTCTTATTAAACACTGAAATTCACGTTCAGGAACATCAAAACATACGGAGCCAAAAACTGAAAGCATTTTGAAATAATTAGATGCAGTTTTAGTTTTTGGAAGAGTGAAATGTTAATTCATTACCACAAGTTACACTTTTGTATTTAAATTCCACGATCATTATGATAACTACTATGAATTCAATGCCTAATTTGCATAATTACTGTTACTTATTTTATACCTCATCCACTAACATTTCAACTGTGTTTAATTAGCTTTATCACAACAGTGTCCAAAAGGCCAATTACAACCCAATGAAGCAGTTAACAACAAAAATTTAAACCCAAAATGGAACAAGTACTGTTCATGGCTGGAAGACTTTAATAAATGGTGCAGACATGCCTTTAAATTTGTCCATGCACACCAGAGTGTACTTAAATTGCAGAAAGTACTTTGTTTGGTCCCTTTGAATGTATGTACGCATGCAGAATCTGTCCAAGTCTGTGACTAAAGAAACTTGTATTGTTCTGCTGTTAAATTGTATGTAATTACATCAAAATCAACAGTATTTTATATACAACCAACCAGATTACCCAATCTATGCATGGGGAGCATTTCATCCTTAATTACAAATGTGTGATTCTGTCAGCTCATTGACTATTGGTTCTCCCTCTTCATTCCCCCCCCCCCCTCCTTCTGTTACAAACCAGTTTTCTGCAGTTCAGCTCCTTTATAGGATGAGAATTTATCATTTCTCACTCAGGCAGGGACCAGTTACATTCCTAGCTAGGCCTGACCTTGGCCACGCTATTGGATATATTCATGTTTAGTTACAACAAATGATAAATTTGATATGAAAGGTTTATGAGGTAATAGTGTAATGTAATACTGTTATTTCTGTGAACTGGAATCATCTTGAACTAAATAAGAACCCAATATCTAGAGCTTACAGAATCTTGAAGGATCCCCCCCCCCAAAAAAAAAAATTTGATCTTTATGTTATCATCAGCATTTACCCCAGAACGATTTTAACCCTTATGAAAAAATGTGGTGTTAATATAACATAGAAAATCCTGCGTGTTGACCAACATGCAAACTAGGCACACTATTTACCTTCAATGTCTATGGCCTTTGTGTCTATTTTGGTAATAAATTCATAAAAATCCTGTTTCGACTCCATATATTCTCAATCTTTATGCACAGCTGACACTCAACATTTATGGAGCTTTCAAACTTTACCAAGTTTTACAAAATAAAGAAAAATGGTAGTTTGATTTTTTGTAATGTCTAATCATAACCTTTACGAATGGTTATGATCTAAAGAATAAAACATTTTCATTTAGTTTGTTGATAAATTTGCACTTCAGCTCCTTTATAGGATGAGAATTTATCATTTCTCAGTATGGCCGTTACATAATGTCTATAGTTTCACACAATCTCACTACTGGTAAGAAAAGAAACCAAATCAAAGTAATGTAACTGCTTCTCCCTTTCTTGAGATAAGCACATGGCCATTACATAATGTCTATAGTTTCACACAATCTCACTACTGGTAAGAAAAGAAACCAAATCAAAATAATGTAACTGCTTCTCCCTTCCTTGAGATAAGCACATGGCCATTACATAATGTCTATAGTTTCACACAATCTCACTACTGGTAAGAAAAGAAACCAAATCAAAATAATGTAACTGCTTCTCCCTCCCTTGAGATAAGCACATGGCCATTACATAATGTCTATAGTTTCACACAATCTCACTACTGGTAAGAAAAGAAACCAAATCAAAATAATGTAACTGCTTCTCCCTTCCTTGAGATAAGCACATGGCCATTACATAATGTTTATAGTTTCACACAATCTCACTACTGGTATGATACATATATTGCATCATACTGAGCAATTTTGTTTTTTACAATACTCGTGAAAAGAAGTGACCAAAGAAGTTGGATGAGGTCACCCATTTTCAATGTAAAATACATCAGGATCCACCCTCCCCCTTGTAACCAGTGGGATTAATTACCATATTGAATGTATTTTTGTCTACATTATTAGGTACCTTGTAAACAACAAAATCATGGAATCACAAACAAATTGGATCAGAGATACTTTCAAAAAATTGATTTGAAGAAAGCAATGTGGTTCATATAGACCACATTTGTTAACACTCCAAAAATGTTTTAAGTAAATTTAATTCTTCAGCATAAAATCTAGTTAACTTACCAGTTAAACCAAATACACACACACATACATACACACAATAACATTACTTTACTGATTTCAAAGAACTTGCCAAGTGAATACTCACATGATTAAAAAAAAAAGTACCTAAAACTTAACCCACTATAAATCATAATTGTCTGTAGAACACACACAAATGCCTAGTCATTGTTACAATAACCAGTATAAAAAAATTGTTTAAAGATCTGCATACTTTTACGTGCCTGAATAATTTTAAAAGATGAGGTCATGAAGAAATATGAAGAATTGCTTACTTGTAAGAACAGCATCATTTATCTTATTTGTTTTTCACTGACTGAACGGAAGTTAGAGAGCTTTAAATTCTATTTTGAAGTTCAGTTTAATTTTTCTTTACATTGTAATAAAAGGGCCTTTAAAAAAATCATGAACACCCTCAAATGCTTTCTAAAAGTTAATAGTCAAATAATTCATTTTGTAATAAAAAAAGACAAAGTAAAATTTGTTTAGTGTAATTCCAAAATATGATCTTTAAAGATGAAGCTAAAATACATAAAGAGTAAAATATACAATGTTGTTTCACAAAAATGCAAAAAAAATTAAATCACATTATCCCCCCCCTAACATGAAATGTAGCCCAGTTATAAAGCACGTTGTTAAAGTTGAAACACTGAACCATGACATCATTTGTATACATGTAGAAAAATTTCACATCACCTTACTTGATATTCTTACAACAATTCTCCTCCAGCATTTTACAATTATAACTAATTAGACACATTAAACGGTGGGTTGTTAAGCCTTTTCTAAGTGACGGTTAGTGAGCATAACAGTGAATTATGCCCAGGATAAGAGATGATGTTTTCTGAATGGGTATTTTTGACACATACAATAAAAAAAAAACCTTCATGTTAGGTCAATAAGTTAGTGAACTAGATGCCTGTTACTTGTATTACATATTTTGTCTAAAGAAATTCGAGTTAACTTTCTTGTTTGTATATGATGCATTTTTGTTTCAGTTGTTATACCGAGATGTATGTAAACCGGGGTAGGAACTTTTTAGGAATTTTAAATGGGTCAGAAATTTTGGGAATTTTTCATTTTACTATATTATAAACTTCAAGAAATATGTTTTCATCAGTTAACAACAAAATTTTACAAATATAAGGTAACGGAGAACATCGCACCTGCCAGTCAGCGGCGTTTCAAAAGGCCGATTGAATGACGATAGACAGGTCTAATCACAGCTAAACGCATTGCGGACTGGTCAATAAAAATAATCAAATCAAATGCCGTTTTGTGTGTTACAAATACAATTGTTTTCTAAGTGGCTCCAGGGCATCTAGATATAACGTAA